GCAGGATGACATGCTTCTTGTGATGAGGGATGCTCTCTATAGACCCCACAAGATGTCGAACAGTTCCAAGAAAGAGATAAAAACAAAACTTAAAACTCTAAAACTGAAGGTCAAAGTACTAAATATCAGTCAATTTTTAGGTTCTTTCTACCCTGCTTTCAAGCTATCTTGCATCCGTTCATGACAGCATTTCTCCTAAAACGGACGTCGGATTCAAATCAGCACGAAGGTCAAGGTCAAGGTTAGGTCAACCCATAAGCCCCCTAATAAAATACTAGGAAAACTTTAGTTGCACTCTCTAAAATAAGAGATGTATTGCCCCTACAATCCATGAAGTACCCGCTTGGACCGGGTCCTCCTACCCCAAAAGTACCCCACTAGCTACATTATGAAAAAGAGGATACGTGTCCTTGAAAGGCCAGAGTGACAGGAGGCTGCCGCCCTTGCCGTGCATCGTAGCTGACGATCGCAAGTATGTTGTTTGCCCATGATGATATCCTCGAACGCATGTTTGGGTCTGATACTGTGATGTAGGGGCATCTCACATTGCGTTAGTTGTGTCCACGGGAGGGAAGTATGAAGACGCCCAGGGCGAACGAACTCTCTCAAGACCGCGACAACCAAGGTGAGACCTATCGATTTTGTACCAGTGTCGATCCCCCCCGTGCTGCGATGGCTGAGTGCGAGGCTCAATTTCTATATGGGAAGCTGACCTTGCGCGCTGCCTCCCAGGGCCTGAAAAGAAGAGACAAGATGTGAAGCAAGCTTCAACCTCTCGTTCCAAGACGGGTTCTGAGGAGATCCTCAATTCCGGCATCTCTGCTGAAGCTCAGGACTCTAGGACTCAGAGGTCTCCATGGATGAATGAAATGGAGGGTGTACACACAGGGATGGAGGGAGTGCAATCAGAAATGGAGGGAGAACAACAAGAGAGGCGGAATGAAGAGATCCGAGATGTACAAGGAGAGATCAAAGATGTACAAGGAGGGATCGGAGATGTACAAGGAAAGATCGGAGATGTACAAGGAGGGATCGGAGGTGTACAAGGAGGGATCGGAGATGTACAAGGAAAGATCGAAGGTGTACAAGGAGAGATCAAAGATGTACAAGGAGAGATCAAAGGTGTACAAGGAAAGATCGAAGGTGTACAAGGAGAGATCAAAGATGTACAAAAAGAGATTACAGATCTGTTGAAAAGGATGCAAGGTCAAAATGACCCAACGCAGGAGGAGATCCTCAAGCAGCTTATAAAAAGGGAGACGCAGCTTGTAAAGGACAAGACGCAGCTTGTAGAGTACCAGCAGCTGCTTGTAGAGGACAAGACGCGGCTTGTAGAGGACAAGAAGCGGCTTGAGGGGCTTATTCCACGTCCTGTGCAACTTCGAGACAGCTTGTCAAGACCTGAAGGTGAAACAGAATTGAATGTGGCTATCATGGGTACTAAGAGGACTGATGCTAGTTGGCATGCTAAGTTTCTTGAAAGAGCTCTGGACTACCGCACGCGCAGGAAAGGGCTTGGTGGCTAATGAATACGTCAGCTTCTCCACATGCTTGGGAGGCTATGAGACACTTGGAAACAAGCTCTTCATACGAGCGTGCTACTTGAAGATGAGGGAGTTGATTGCCAATGATTTCAAGTTGGACCCAGAGACGCTAAAGGGCAAGGACTCCACTCAAGGATGCCATCAAGTAATCCTCACAGGTACTCCAGGGATCGGGAAGTCCTGCTTCGCATACTTCTTACTTCTTCAGCTCCTCCGGCCTGGTGAGGAAGTAGTGTATCAGATAGGGAGTGAATATTGGTACTTTGATGGAGAAGCATGGAGCCTGCTCATGGATGGATCCGTAGCGCAACGCTTTCTTCAAACGTTTAGGCACTGGTATATCTGTGATCTGTTGAAAAAGCAGGGGAACTATTCGATATCACGAACCGCGAAGACAATCATAATCTCTTCACCGAAGTATGGGATGTTCAAGGCCATTGTGAATGCTGGATCGGCGAAGAGATATTTCTTGCCGTTGTGGTCAGACGAGGAGATGTCACTCTTCATCAAGATGCAATCGGAGCGTGGTATGGACCCTGACGAAGTACAGAAGATCGTAGAGGATTGGGGCAATGTGCCGAGAAACATCGTCGTGAAACCTTTAGAGACACTTGGGCAGGCTGTTGGAGGAATAGATTCAGTGACATCACTCAAGAACAAGATGGATGCAGCAGTGAATGACGACCTTGGAATGCCATCGAAACTGATTCACCTTTCCCCCAGCACTGACTTCAGATCCTTTACCGCTCGAATATGCTCGACGAAGGCCGAGAAGATGATATTTGAGACCCTTGTGAAAAGGGATTGGGATCATGTTGTCGACTTTGCTTTTTCGAGTCCTACTTATGGCTATCAGTCAGCTGCAGGTGTAGCTTTTGAACACGTTGCGCATGAGGTGCTGAAGGGAGGAGGAATGTACCATCTGCAAAGGCTGGATAAGGATACGGGCGATGGAAACGGGTCAGAAAAGCTGAAGTTGAAGGAATCGCAACCGTACATTGAATTTGCGTCATCAATCGGAGACTTGGAGGAGTGGGTGATCATGCCGGATGCATACTGTAAGCCAAAGGCATCGAACTTTCCTTGCATGGATGCGATGTTATTGTCTGCTAGCGGGGTTCTCTACATGTTCCAGATGACACGGGCGGGGAAACATCCTATCAAAGTGGACTCATTACTCAACATCTTGAACGCTCTGCGAGCCAAGAACAAGTTTGAGAGGCAATTATTTGTGTTCGTTGTACCTTCAGGGCATGAGGAAATGCCCTGCTGGGGACGAGATCAAGGCTTCACATCTCAGGGAGTGAAGGCAAGCCAGGAGCAGGAGAGTCAAATCAGGGGAGTCACTCAGTATATCATGATGCTTTCGAAGGAGGATGCGATGCGGAGGCCAAAGGGATGGATGACTGTCCTTCCGCCACGTACGTAGTCAATC